TAAACTTAAAAGGGTTACGTAGGCCTATAAACTGCTATCACCATGCATACTTACAAATCGCGTAAAACAGCGACCGCCAAGTTCGGGAGTTTGCCGACTTGCTGTATGTTGGGGCGGTGGTGTTGGAGTACGTCCAGGTATCTTAAACATTGTTTGCGTTATGCGTATTAAACGGTGCATGCGGTGGAGATCACCGACTTAACAAATAGGGAGGGGTTGAGGAGGGGGTCAGTAAGAGGATGGGAAGTGACGCAATTGTCATAGGCGGTTTATTCAAATACTCTTACCCAACCGCAGTACACCGCTGTCCCCTCGCGTCTCCCTTGCGCATCGTCCGTTTTCTGTCCACCTAACGCACACCACCTTCAAATGCGGCGCCAACGATCCCATTGGTTAGCCGCTTGGCGGTTCAGGTTTACTCGCCCCGGCCGCCAATCACATCACGTCCCAGGTCAGCCCTCCTTCGATTGGTCATTGCCTACGCTTTTCCCTATTTGCGCGCCATCCTCCCCCTATTTTTGACTTCATTAAAACAAATATTTATTTTTCTGCGATTTCGAACATTTTTCGGCTTCCAACTGCACATTCAGTGCCCTTTGCCGTTTGCCCCGCCCGTTCTTCCCCTCAAAACCGCCATCCCGTTGTACCCGACCCACCTAGAGAGGATTTCTCACTGTGGCCGCCTGTTGGGCTTCCGCCGTAAATCCCTGTGTTTTTGTGCTCTAAAACACTGCGAGAACTGTATGATTATTTAATATGCTAACAATCATGTACTACTGGCTGCCTGTTGGCGGTTTGTGAATATTACACGGTTATTCTACAGTAGCCGATGAACTTCAGATCAAATAATCATATCATCGTCGGTCACGACGGCCGTACTGCCGAAGTTCATGTGTATCCGGCCTCGTTTGGGTGGGGTCTCGCGTCTCACCCAGATGAGACTCAGCAGTCTGGCTCTCAGTACTCATGCTGAGTAATCCCGTTGGTTTGCAGGCCTCTAAACCAGGACTGTTGAAGCCTCGTGAAGGTTTTAGAACGCGTTTAGTTTTAAAGGAGATCAACGTTGAATCGGCCTGCTGAGGGCTACGAATACCAGCGGTAGCAACGTTCCACGCGTCTTGAATGGACGGAAAGGAGACTCGAGACGAAATCCCCAATGATGGAGGGTGTATAAATCCGGCAAATATCACCG